AGAGGCGAGAGAGATATCAGAAATCTTCAAGACAAACTGAAAAAGAGGAGAAAAAATTAGTCATTTTCCGATTTTTTTCCTGGTCGAGAATATTTGCATTATTAGTCGACAACTTTCCAGGTCAGATTTTATATAACGGCAAATAACAGAGAACACGTTGCAAAAATTTCTTTTTAATAGTACCAGGGTTAAAGTTTGCCTGCTACCATAAAGACATTTTTTGATCATTTTGATGCATTTCAAAACATTGCCGGTGGTCTGCCCTGGCGGGCTTGCTGTCATATTTCAAATTAATACCACCAGAACCGGACCCAAAAAAGCTTCGTAAAAACTATTTGTAATTTTCCATTTCTTTCATTCACAAAACAAATTTCTACAATCACTGACTAATGTGATTGTTAATGCTTTACTCAGCAGGCAGGCAATTGAATCTAGCTCATTATCTTAAGAGACAATTTTCGTAAGAGACAGTGAAAAATTAAGACACAATATCCCTCAGAATCACTTTCGACCTTTCTCTTCGTAAACACCTTTACAAAGTTAAGGAAATATTGTCAGTCTTCACAACATAATTAGAGTTGTGTCAATGAAAAACAAAAGTTGTTCTAATGACTAGCTTTCATAAGCGACGGAGAGATGGTCAGAGTTGTAATTGAAGTCGTATTAAAAACGACTGCGAGGATGTCTAAAAAAAAACGAATAAGCCTTAGGTAGAATTTCCGAATATGATTATAATTCGACTGTTTACGATCCAGTGAAAAATGTTGGCTTAATTTAAAAAGGCACTGGTGGTGGTGGTGGTAGTGATTGCGAAACAAAAGAAGCAGTTTTTTGTGAATCAAGACAGGGCCAATCAAATACAACAGCCGCTTTAAACTTATCGGTGTATCACAACAGGAATACATCTCGCAATTTTTAAAACAGAGTTATAGTTTTACGCTATTTGGTATTGAGTAGAAATTGTGATTTAGAGTAGGCGCTCTTCAATTTTCCTATAATTAATTTATCGAGCAAGACGCTAGAGAGGGGATCATCGTACTGAGTGTCCTTCTCTCTTGCGCTCACAAGTGTTTCGCCTTCATTATTTTTTGTCCGTCTGCATAGTTATTAGCACCACGGCAAAACACACACAACGTTATTTTTTCCCTTTGACAACTGAAAAACTACAGGTAAGGATGAAAAAAGCAATATTGATGTTGACTGTGTTGAGTATGTGATTACCAAACCTGTACGCATCGGCAACAGTCCTCCTATTTCATAGTTCTCTTTATTATATACATACGAGAAATACTCACCAAAAAGCTATGTCGTAAATTTTCGTACGCAAATTAGTTCTAGCCAATGAGAGGAGCGAACGGTGGTTTTCACACGTGAAAAAAATGATACGTCCAATCAGAATCGCGAACGATGTTTTTTCACGTGTGAGAAAAATGATACGTCCAATCAGAGGCCACAGAGGTGTGTGAGTTTCGCGCCAAAATTCCCGCCTTTTATTGCAGCTTGCAGCGCCGCTTCGCACACATTCAACGAGAAAAGTTTTACTCAAAGAGTTTTTCTCGCTAAAAAAGTGAAAAACATTTCGGAAATGGAGTGGAATAGTTTCGTTTGTTTCACTGTCGATAAAGAAAACGGTAGAGAGCCGGCGAAACAACAGCGGAAAGGGAAAAACAGAACGAGACGTAAGCTTTTGTTGTGCTTTTTGTCGGAGCTACTTTGCCTTTCATTTAAGCTTAAGCTTATATTGAAACCGGACATTTTACTTAAATTCACTCATTTTCGATTGTGCATTGACAACAAACAGTTAAGATTACTTATAGTTCTTGGATTACCTCATATCCTTACCGTCATTTATGTTTTTAACAAACGTTTTTACTAAAAAGCTGATACTTCGTTTTCGTTGTCATTTTGCGGCAAGTGTGTAGCGGCAAATAAGATTTAAAATAAAAAGGCCGCCAAAATGATGAATGTCTCGGTATGTATATAATAAACACAGTACCACATGGAAAGTGCTTTGTACGGTATTTACGCACTCGTTGTTTTTGTATCAGAAATCTTACTCGTTCGCTGCGCTCACTCGTTCGATTTCTGATACGTCAACAACTCGTGCGTAAATACCGTACGCCAGCACTTTCCATGAAGTATTCTCTATATTTACCATGAAGTGAAAGCATAAGCACTGATGCAGAAAATGACGTTTCTTTTCATTTTAAGTGCTTCGTATGTGAACAAATAATTAGCAAATAATAAGCCTAGCATTGACGTTTCTTTTTTATATTCGTCAATTCAATGATTGAAAGTGGTCATACGCAGTTCACAGGGCCTTATCGAACTTTTAAGTCTTCACCGCCTTTACCACGGATAACCGCATACTCTTTTCTCTCGTTTTACTGAGCCGTGATAAATTATCAGAAGTGGAAAAAAATTAATAGCATAAGCTACGAGAGAAAGCCGTTAGAGTGTGCGGATTCTACTGTCGCAAGATATTCTCTTTTTTAATTTCAGATTTGCGTTTTCTTTCAGGATGTCCGTCACTCGTAGCCTTGTAATTGATTGGTGGTTCATTGTTTTAAATAAAAAATATTTCATTTGCATACCTTTTTCACGAACCATTACTGTCCCCAGCTATCCACGTACATGTAAGCCAGCATCTACGGAAAAAAACAGAACCTACATATTTAATGACAGACTTAAAGGAAAATCTTACGCGGCAATTTCCGTTAGTCCACTTTCAATCTGTTATATTGGACAATGTAGGTGATAATTATTTGTTAGGCGCCAGATTACGTCTACCGCGTTTTATTCTCACAATTTAAATGCCAAGAAAACAAACGTACTGCGACACACTTTGTAGAAACCGATCAACAATTCAAACTGAGGACAAAATGATTACTAAGTAAACGTTTTAAAACCACTTACCGGTTCGGTGAATTCCAATTTAACTACCACAAACGCTATAAGGTAGCAAGGAAACCATCAAATCCTTGGAAAATCAACAGAAAACTGGATGGCAACGTGAAAGCTAATAATTGAAATCCAGCAGTGCCGATATTGGCAAAGAGGAAGCGAAAGATTAAGTTCCTTCCTCTTAACCGATTTTTCATCATTTCCTGCAGTCCATGTTTGCCATTCTCAAATTGAGTACGTCGTTTGATATCGAGACTCTAGCCATGCAGCTGACTTTCCAATATAAACAGAGCAAAATCAAAACCCGATTGTTCACTAAATAAATCATCATCAAAGAAACGTAATTATTTCAGTGCAAATACTATTTCAAAGTGGCGAAATACATCAAAGTTTCTGATCTTAGACGATTGAAAATATCGTTAATTAAAACTGGTAATTTTGTCACAGATTTTGTGTGGAACGCATTTAAAGCAAGATTGATTACAGTTGCCGTTAATGAGCTGCGAGAAGTAAAGTGACGGAAGGTCTCTCATTTGATGATTGGAGGGGCAACCGAAGCAGGTGTGCATGAAAATTAAACTCAGTGCTCCATCGACCCTCCCAAGGTTACCAGAATCAAAGAGCACTATGCATTCAAACAAAATCTGCTGGAAGTCTGGTATCGAAAACTGAATGGATCTGTTCGGTCCCACAGTAAAAGTGCCGAACGAAGGTCAAGTATCTTTGTCTGTGCACGTAAGTCAGGTTGTAATTGCAGTTGTCATTGTCGTGAGTACATTGTAAAGTGCATGTAAATCGTAAATTTGCGTTTATTTGTCAACTCCCTTGGCACAAACAAATCTATCCAGAAACTTGAGTCCATACTCCGCTGAAAGGACGTTGGGTTCAATTGACCAAGCAAACGCAAGAGAGAGCAATCTGGACACAAAATTGGTCCTTACTGAGAAAATAAGGCTGGCCCAAAGTCGAGTTTATTTTCCGTCCGGAAATTCCGGAGTTTTTGAAATTTGAATTTGAAATTTGTTTCGCTGGTTTCTGACGCTGAATCTTTTGATAAAAAATAAAAAAAACAAAAACAAAATACATACAACCACTACGAATAAGAATAAACACCAATCCAACATATTTATTTCATACTGACAATTTATTTTCTCACGATTATCCCCAGAACTTCCCATATTCGATCGAAAACTCAACAGGGAGTCCTTTCGGTCCCTTTCGCCTCCATAAGTTCTAGTGAAAAACGGTTCCAAAGTTTACAATTGGTAATAGAGATTAGTAAGTACTTCGCTGTATTGTCTGTATGGCTCTCTCTCTCTCCGGCTTTTTGTTTCGCATATCGATGACTGTGCTTTAGTAATCTTACTTTTTTTCGTATGGGATTGAGCACCGCTTTCACATTTGCCTTAAATTCCATCCTTCCAAAGTTCTCTTAGTGGACACACTCGTTAAATGCAGACAGCTCTGCTTACGGTCACCATGGACAAAACTTCGTTTGGACTCCCTGCTCATATAACCGTTCTCTTAAGTGGCGAGCTTCAGTTGAGTGTTTACTTCCCGTTAATTTAATCACCTGTCTGTCTAAACGATGTCTGACAGAAGTCTAAGACCCTGTTGACATGGAGTGGGGGACCCCGGTCTAGTAGGGTTGGTTTCTTTTGTTTTCACGTTATGGGGGACACAAAACAAAAGAAACCTACCCCACTAGACCGGGGTCCCCCACTCCATGTAAACAGGGTCTTAGACAAGTTAACAGGAACTTAACCTGGTCCCAGAGGTTTTTCTTGAAATTGTTTTGCTCTCTCTTTCGCCAAAAATTTCAAAAAAAAACCCCGCTGTGACCGGGGGAACAGAAACTCAGCACTTATCTAAAAAGGTTAAATAATATCTAAATAATCTAATATATCTAATCACTTAGTACGTGAACATTAACTACCTGTTATTAAGTTCCTCTTTCAGAATTCACTTTGTGCTATATTCGTAGTGATCAGAGCGATTTTGGTCAAAGAATGAACAAGGCAATTGTTGTAGCCTTACACCCTTAGTTGGGAGAGACGTTCACCCCAGAAAAGCCTCTACAGTGCTTACTATGATTTCTAATTTGTGTCTTTACTTTTAAGAACACTCGATTCATAAATACTGTCTAAAAACATAACCTGATATGCTTGCAGAAGTCGAACTGCTCTTCTAATACCCTTGTATTCAATCTCACTCATCTTTCCTTTGTCATTAGCTTTGAAGGCCTCTATGACCTTGACGGCCCCTTCGTCCAGGTCACACACACCAAAGAAACGAAGGAAATCTAGGTCTTCGTGTTTCATGTCATATTTCTTCTTCATAGAGTCTTCAAGACTCAAACACATTTGACCAAACGTGGGAAAATTGACTGCAATAGCTGCCACAATCTGCGGGATTTCTCCGTAATGAGCTAAGTAGCAAAAATACGACGGATACTCGTGTGCACTGGCGTGGGGCTCGTAATTCTCTAAATCCAATTCGGAAAGTCCCATCGCTTTCGCCATGGCGAGGAGTTTTCTGTGAGCAAGTTTTTGACCGTTATAAAAGAAGCTGAAGTACTGGCGTATAACGTCGCTGCCTTCGCACCTGGACACCAAGTGTTCCATGCTCCGAATGTCAGCTAATACGATGTAATATTGCTCACAAAGAAATGCGACCATGACTTTGAAGGGAAGTGTACCAGCCTTTGCTTCTTGGACCACTCTGTGATTTACCAACTTCTTAACATGTTCAATACAAAATGGCTCCTTCTGCAAAGAAGCTAGAACCTCTTTGGCAGATTTAATTGTTGTGACGACCGTTGCCATTGTCGCAACAGCTGGTAAATGGGTCTTTCTTGATTTTCTGTGGAACAAAAGGACTTGATATGATCAGGGAGAACGTCAGACACTTTGTGGTTTTTTTTTTATCGTGGAATATATCGTACATGTGTTCAATAACACGGTAAAAATGCGCATAAACAGCCTTTCAAATGTACATACCTCACAAAAAGATGTTTTTTGTGTTGTTTTCTTACTGTTTCTTGCCCCATAAATGCCGTTTTAGAAAATTTGATGTTCTGGTTTCTCGCCTACTCAACCTGGGCCCAGTTGTTCGAAGGCCCATTAGCGCTAACCTGAGGTTAAATTTTAGATCCGGGTTTTTTTTCTTTTAATTCGAAAGCATTTTCTCGGATAATTTTTCCCTACTCTTTTAAGATCATCCAATCATCATATTGCAGATGAAAAGAATTTAACTGAATATGCTGTTTAAGCTTTTAAATCTGAATTCAGATTTCGCACTAATCTTAACCCAACTTTGAACGACTCAGCGCTGTGGTTTCCCGCCAAGGTACGCTTCACATACAAAAACGTGTAGGGGGGGGGGAGGGGTGGGGAACAACAGGTTGACGCAAATTTTACGACGTCGCGGGTTTTAAAAGCCGAAGCCAACGTGAGTCCGGTTGAACTAGATAATTTTTCTAGTGTACAAAAACCTCGGTTGTTTTTCGTGGTTGCGCGTGTGCTTTCCGGCCCATGGCTTGTAAACGAGTCGATTTGTAAGAAGAGCTCCCTGGGTAACATTGCGAATCTCTCTTTGTCAGAGTTCAAACTCGTCCCCAGGGTGTCGAACTTGGCATGAGCTAATGTTTTCCCCTGTCACTGCTCCCAGTCGAGGAGATTTTGACCGTCCCGCGTGGCTAAGCCAAGAGCAACGGCTTTCCGTAGTCCGTTGCGAATGATAGTGCCACCATATTGAAGAACGAGAAGATCCTGAGGACGAGGTTGGGACAGCAGCGCCACGTTTAAATTTTCTGTTTTATTTTTTGCGCTCTAGACGCTTGACGCCATGGCTCAATGTTTGGAGCTAAATTGCATTTTTTAAGAAGGAGAATTTTCGGTCTATGTCTATGCTCAAATGAAGATTTGGAGCGATTGGAGTCGAACGAGGGTGATCTTTGGAGCTTTTTCTCTGGTAGAGTAAGAAAGTCGACTAGCCAAGGTTTCCCTTGTCGTCCTTTTAGTAGGCGGGAAACCAGAATTTCAAAGCCTGCGTAGCTAATGAACTTTATTTATTATTATTATTTTTTTGTGGTTCGATAAGTAAGAGACACGCGCGAAAGCTGAACGGAGGTCCAACCTAAAAACGATGGGGGAGGAGGTGAGGGGAGAAGGCAACGTTTTCCTGTTTGACCTCGCGCGTAACTTGCGATCCGATCCGTGAGCCGGCGCGATCCTCGCGCGCGGCCGTTTAAATACCAACCAAAAATGAAAATCATAGAAAAAAACCGCCAGCTACGCAGGTTAAGAACATCATAATTTTCATGTTATGCATGAACGACGCTGGTTCTTAAGCAACTTGTCCAAACTCCAATGAATATCCACCTCACAATCTAAAAGATTCTTTTATAGCAAGAACAGATTATTCAGAGGCCTGTTAATTGCCAGTCGTGTTGTTTTGATCCTTTCGTGACACTAGCTTGCATTCTTAGCATAACATGACAAACGAGCTTATAGAGCGTGAAAGTCAGGCGAACAACGGTGCACAAGGGTGCACAAGTCACATAAGGTGCAAGGACAAGCAAATTAAACTGACTCCTGCTTTGTTTGATGTAAAACTTAAAAAGCAGCTGCAACTAAAAACTGACAAAACTCGATATTTAAGTTATTTGTACAACTATCCCCCGCCGTTTGATAGAAACGCTCGTTGCTCTTTGAGTAAACAAAAGTAAGCCAACAAACACATTAAAGTAAGCATTGATAAAAGCTGGTACGAGAAAAGCACAAAAACTTGAAGAGAATGAGTACATAGTGTGCCTAAACACTTGCTTGTATCTCGAGTGTCTGTACAAATATTTCTTACCTCGACAAATGCGATAGCTGAAGATAAGATGATTGAAAGGCAATATTGTTCCTCGCTGTTTCCTTTCAAGAGCCCACGAGTCTCTCAGGTTGAACTGGGAACCTGCTGAGGGAGGTTACTGCAGTCGCGCGAGAGGGGGGGGGGGGGGGG